GCCAAGGTTACCGAACTGAGAGGCGCTGATTGTTAGAAATTGTTTAGATCTTATCAATCATTCCAGTATGGTCCATAATGGATATGACATTTTGATTGATATTAATAGGATTGCGATTGTAAATTTTATTAAGTGGAAGGTAAAGGAAAAAGTCGCCGAGGTTGATTCCAGCACGGTTTTGTCTTGAATCGCCAAATTGACTGTGCCTGGCATCGAATTCTTCGAGAATGATAGTCTGTAATAAGAGATAACATTAAGTGTGCCTTTGTTCTCTAGGTGACCATCCACTACAAGGAAGTATTCATCGATAGGGGCTATGTGGCGAGAGATTGTATGAGGAGAGAATGAGATACCGTATTGAATAAGGATGCCGTTTTCGAGAAATATCGGGATGCGGGGACGATGAAATGAGAAGTATCCTGCGAGGTATATGTTTGTTTTTGATGAGGTGTCTGTGAGGGCTAGGATATGGATACTGTGTTTCTGAAGGTCGTGTTTAATGAAAGGATGGGCGTTTTCTCACGATACCCTCACAGTTTATTAAGCTATCCATTAGTCAGTACTTATTGTGAGAGGAACGAAATGATTGTTACGAGCTACAAGAGACTCTTATGCCCAAACATCAATTATTGGTAGAAGGAGTTGGTAGTGTAGAGCATCAGCTGGCGATGTCCAGGGAGTAGGTCGACTAAGATACGGGTGATGAACTTCATCAGAGTTTTCTGGTCTTATGAGAGTTGATAGTAACTTCTTTACACTTTGGTTTTTGGGGTGTGAGATAGACAGAGGATTTATGATCCTATCTGTAAGTAAGGCACCTGAACTGCCTTTCAGGGCACTTCGATATAGTGTACATTCTGGCAGTATTTGGCAAAATATTTAGGGACGAGTGGGATAGGGTTGAAGTTCAGCAAAATCTGCTTATATAAATAAATCTGAATTTTATAAATATTCTATCTTTTATCTACACATTCAGCGCATTATTTAAGTTTTTGTGGAGTTTTGTTTTCTTCTCTATAGCTCAGTAAAATGATTGAAAAATAATCGAAAACAGGAGGTGAAGAGGCTAAAGCAGCTTATTCAAATCTATACAATCAACTTGATACCAGGGAAGGAAAAACAAAGGTAGAGCCAAACATAGAACAAAGAAAGGAAATGAAATGATAAAATGAAAAAAGACTTTGACAGTTTATTAAATGAAGAATTTGAGAGACAACCAGTTGAGTTAACGGAGACAGTATGGTTACCAAAGTTACAAAAGAGGAATTGGTTCAAGTACTTCCAAAAATTAAGAAAAGATAAGCAGTTGAACCAGATGATAAACCTGGGGGAGTGTGGACAGCATTAGGAGAGACAGGAATAAGGTATCAGGTTTATTTAATAGAATTATGGAAGTAGGACAAATGCCAAACGAATAGAGAAGCAGTATGCTAGTACCTGTTTACAAAAACAATAGATATAAACAGTAACGCACTTACTACAGGTCCATAAAACTACTTAGTTACACAAGGACCGGTTATCATTAGTATTGGATCAGATATCAGCGAAACTACAGGGTAAAATCCCCTTGTACTTAATGTATACTGACTATGTAGTGTTAGTAAGAAATAGTGAAAGCGACTTAGAACAAAAACTGTAACAATGGAGACAAGCGTTTGAGGAAAAAAGTTTAAAACTTAGGACAAAAACAGAATATTTGGAAGGTTCATTTAAATATGGAGTTACTACAACTAAAATGATATCTTTGAATGGTTAAATAGAGGGAATTCCAATGAAGTTGAAGGGAAAATTCTGTAAAACAGCCATTTGAAAATATAGACTTTTAGGACAAAATCGTATACTTTTCTTGCAGTGAATTAATTAGTGATGTTAATTATTAAGAATTGAGGCATTCATTGATAGATTGATTTATTGACAGCAAAAATGAGGCAAGTCAAAAACAAAATTTTAGACAAGAAAAAAACTATTCTGTAGAGCAAATTTAATCTTCAATTTATAAATAATGCTATGGGTTAACTTAAATACGTTTTATATATTATCTAAACGATCATGTAATAATGTTTTTCGCAATGATTCACGGCACAAAAATGCAATATGAAGATAAGTAAACATTTAATATTATTATAGTAAAGATTAGCTGATTGTTGTGTATATGAGAATGTAAAGACATAAAATGAAATTACACTTTTTAGATAACGTGAATCATTGTTCAATGATATCTATGGATTTAAGAAATAAATTCAGGTAAAAGCACTATTCGTAGGAAGTCACATACTATGTACTGTAAATGGCTTTAATAACAACCTGAAAATTTTACTTTAAATGAATTTAACAAAAAAGATAAGTTATCTGAAAGACATTAATATCATATATATAAACAGTAGCGGATAGACGGGAGCAGGTGGGGGAAATCTCCTGACAAGTTCCAAAATTAAAGAAAAAAAATTGTTGAAATATAAAAATATATTAGCTAACATGAAACTTAAACCACACGCAGAGAAATTCAACCCAATAAACCCACTAGTTAGGAAAATTAAGGAACTTAAGCATATTCACTATGTCCAAGTTCGGAAGAGCGACACCTAGCATCATAGAATAGCGAAAATATTAGCACTAAATCATGATCCATATGTAAACTGCAAATAAAATGACCTAAACTTGTTTATTTAATACAATACTTATTGTAATTTATATCAATATTTAACTTCGAAAAATTTTAAATTGTAAAAACAGGTAAGTATATTTTTTACGGTTAGATTTTATCATTTGAACATTAAAGATAGAGGTTAATAAAAGGTAACGATGTAATATACTAAGGATGGAACCTATGAATAAATACTTTCGTCCAAGCATAACAATGGTTGACTCTTGTTTCCGGAATTTCAGTAGTTTACGAAAAAAAAATTATTTATTTACCTTTGAATAAAAGTTATAATGACGTGTAATATTGTAAAATTAAAAAAATATTATTTTTATAACATAAAAACATACAAAACATATATATTTTACAGGCACGTAGTGGTACATCGCACTCCACTGATGTGACTGGATGCAAAATATTTAAAACTTAACGAATATATTGATTTACCAAAAAGAATACATTAAATTATTGACCTAACATATAATGTTACCTGTTTAACATTAAAATATCGGACATAACTGTATTCACATTAATCACCTGTCAAATTCACGTCGGATATTGTAGCCGATAATGTGACGTCAGTTCCTTCGTTGATCTGTTACATGTAAAAATATCAACATGTTCCATCCTTAATATATTACATCGATGTTAAAAGGTAAACATTTACGAAGAGCGACATCTAGAGTCATAGATCAAGTTTTTAGTAAACTGCAAATAAAATGACAAACTTGTTTATTTAATGTAATAATTATTGTAATTTATATTAGAATATGCTTGATTATTTCGAAGCAACATACAGTAGGAGGGCTAGATATCGAGAGAAAACAAGTAGAAAGAGTGAATAATTACAAATATCTGGGAACCTGGAATTGCAAGACAAACATTTATAAAAATGAAAACAATGTTTGTTAATCGAGACCTTCCTCTGCAGCTGAGGATAAGAGCTTTAAGATGCTACGTGTTCTCGACTTTGTTGAATAGAATGGAAAGCTGGACACTAAAAGTGGATAATATAAAGAAGTTGGAATCATTTGAGATGTAGTGCTATAGAAGGATGCTGAAAATACGATGGACCAAACGAGTTATAAATGCAGAAGTGTTAAGAAGGCTACATAAGAATTGCGAGGTCATAAAGCACATCAAAACAAGAAAGCTGGAATATTTAGGCCTCATTACGAGAGGTGCGAAATATGAGATAATAAGGCTCATAATGCAAGGTAAAATCAAGGGTAAAAGATCCATAGGAAGATGAAGAAGTTCCTGGCTAAGAAACCTAAGAGAGTGGTATAGTTTTTTTTTTTTTTTTTTCAATTCGAAACTTAAGATCTATAAAACTATCATCAGACCGATAGTATGCTATGGATGCGAGACATGGGTTTTGACAGAAAGCACTAAACGAAGATTAGAGGTTTTCGAGAGAAAAATCCTAAGGAAGATCTTTGGACCCATCACTCAAAATGGGATGTGGAGATCTAGATATAACCATGAGCTCTACCAACTGTTCAAAGAAGTACCTATTGCAGAGTTCGCTAGAGTACAAAGGCTTCGATGGGCTGGTCATGTGGTACGGATGGATGCCGACAGATTGCCGAGAAAGGCCTTGGATGGTAAAATGCAGGGCAGAAGACCAAAGGGAAGACCACGTAATAGATGCGAGAACGAAGTCACAGCAGATGCGCACAACTTATGGAACGTCAGGGCTTGGAGACGAGTGGCGCGGGATCGCCTTTGTTGGAGGCAGAAGTTACAGGAGGCCAAGGCTCAATTTGGGCTGTAGCGCCATTGGAAGAAGAAGAAGATCTTTTCAGAGCAGCCGCCAATAAGTTACGGATAGCTGTGATGATAGCCAACCTCCGATAGGAAGAAGGAACTACAAGAAGAAGAATATTAGAAATCCACTTTCCTCTTTGCATTAATTTTTGCTTATAATTTGGAAATAAATAGAACTTGAATTGACTATTTCTTGTTGTATTATTTTTACAATTTTGTGAAATCTCATGTTATTTGATGATAGTGCTTATGAAATGTGCTAATAAAAATGCAACTTTTCGCTGCTTCACTTGCACGATCGTTTCTCGTATCCCTTCCAAGTACTTGCACACAGCGAATCCCCCCCCCCCAATATAAATGTCTAGATCCGCCACTGTACATAAAATAAAAACAAAACTAAACATTTATACTATGGATTGTAATTATTTTCTGTCGTTAAATGTAAAAATGTACTAACTTGTATTTTGTCTACCCAGCTTTATTATAGACTTGATGCGAGGTTGTTTATGTTGAAGTAAAAAATATATATATAATATTCAATAAACGTATATATTTTTAAGCACCCATCTTACTTTTTTCATTTTTTCAGGTTACCAAAACTTTTTAATTTGCATCGAAATGTTCTTCGCCGCTGTATCTTTAAGATACGCGTTTCCTTACAAAATCTATGCTCAAGGATGCCGAGCCGACTCAAGAGGACGATCAGTTACGATGCAGAGCATTTCTAGCAGTCTTAAAGAAACCATGAATCCCAAGGATATTATGACTGACGCCATCCACAACTTCCATCCTCAATACCAACAGTATACTCAGTATAGCTCAAATGTGATCTCACGACAACCTTACGAAAGTTTGTGACAAACACAGTTCAGTGATGATTAACTAAGTTTACTTGGTTAGTCATTCACTGAGCTGAATTCCTTACTTACTTATTTACAAAATAATGCTTTACGATCTAATTTATTTTAAGAAATACATATAATACAGAAAGTATCTTTTATCTTATTATTGATGTTAGTAGAAATTACGTTTTAAATCTAGATAAAGGGAAAACTAAGCTTTTAAGTGCTCTACTTATGATAAAAATAAACAAACATCTGATTATAAAAATAGTACGCAATGTAACTGCGCCAGACAATTCGTGGTAGCGTCAACACATTCTGATACCACTCTTCCATAGTTACTTCTTTATAATTTCAAATTAAAAAACAAACCTGTTGCCAATTTCAAATAACTGGCTGAAAAAAATATATAAATAGCTGAGAATAGATAATAGAAAAATAGAAAATTAAACATTTCAAGAAATAGAAACACGCACAGGAGTACAACATTGTGTCTTGTCACCATTGCTATTTATAAAGTATATTCAGCTAGTTACAATAGTTCAATATTCTAAAGTAATTCTTGAAATTTTATCTTTTAGATTTCTCATGGTCCAGTTGATAAAATATTGCCGGTAAAGGCGTACATCACTGTTTTTATCCTTAAACTTTTGATCTTCGTTACAGTGTTATATTCTTGCACCGTAATCTTATCAGAATATATTTATTTAAGCAACTTAGTTCTCAGGTAAAGTATTTTTATATTTGCTACATGTTCTACATGTCAACATTTTTGAAAGCTTTATTTACAGTGCCAAAACTAGATAAGTGTACCAGAAAAAGCTCTCAGTAATCACACTATTATCCTGTGGCGCTGTCTTCTTAACAGAAGGCTGACTACAATTTGGCACATCGTGCCCGGTTTTAAGCGATCCTTAAAATCCTTCTTTCCTTATGTCGTATACATCTTAAATTTATATCAGCTAGGGTCCTACAGCTTTTGCATCTTCCCGCATTTCGATCGCTATCGTTCTCTATCTCTTCAGTTTTTCTCCTCCAAAGCTCTGACTCTTATGACACGCTGGATACCATCTTGCCATCAAATTGCTGGTCTTTCTAGTTTTCTTCTATGCCGTGGTACATATTTTACTGCCTTTTTTGGCCAACATTCTTCCTCCATTTTTATGATATGCCCATACCACAATTGTAACATTGTTTCTGTCCCGTTCATAGTTTGTTTATACTTTATTTGTCCTTCATCGTATATCTTCGGCACATTTCTCGATGTGAAAGCTGCTAACATTGTAATTGGTAGTAAGATTGTCAAATATCAAGTGTTCTTTATCTCTTATAAATTCCGGACACACACCTCCAAATGCTCCAAATAACTCGTCTTCACTATTATAGAGAACCATTGAAAAAAAAACTATAGAGTAGTCGGGAATAAAAATGACGTGGTTTGGGATTATAGCCACTTCCATAAAATAATATAGATAACCTAATTTGTTGTTTACAATTTTCTGAATAAAATGAATAAAATTTTGGACATAATATTATGTACAACCTTTATATTGATTATTTTATCTCTGAATACAATTTTGGACGTAATATATGTCTTCAACGCTTGTATTTTCATTACCCAACCAACTTACCAAATATCTAAAGCGTGATACCATTTCAATGTTGCAACGGAGGTAAAGCGATAGCCATATGAGTTCTCTACATGGTGAGATATGTATGAAGAAACAGTATCAGGATTACTGACATATTTAAATAGAATAGAACCACTACGACTGCGACTCGATTGAAGCCTCTACAACCAAATTGTGACCACGGCAGTATATTATTTGATTTTGTTTTAGTTAAAAGATGGATGTCGGTGAAGAGATTTGATGAGTGGCTGGGCAAGACACACAAAGACGAATTTAATTCAAAATAAAAAAATAGGTGTGAGCAATACGCGCCGCGCCATTATGGAGTGCGTTATTTCTGGTTGTAAGAATTCTTTGATCTGGCCCAAAGTCACTAGATTCTGGTTTGGATGATGACGCCATGCACCATGTAACGTACTTTGTCTACTGCGCACAGTTCCATTTGATTCAATGTTAAATTTTGGCAGTACTCTAGTCGTGATCATGCTAGTGCGCCATAGCACCAAAAGTGGTGTAATGATCGCTACTAGTTATAAAGTGCTGTATTAATTGAAACCTTTTTTAAGTAGGTATTAAAAATACAGTAGGTATTATTTAGTTTTAAACATAAATTTTCTTCTAACATCACTAATAAAATGACTATTTAATAGAAAAAATATATACGTATCTAGTGTACCTTGAGGCCGCTACCTTAAATTGTTTTCTGTATTATATAAATGTAGTAAGGTTAAAGCTTTACAAGTCTAAAGACATAGGGGCAAATTATATATTGAGACAAAAGAAAAATCCAAAGGCATTATTTTGTATAAAACGGATATTCATGATAATATTTAAAGACATCTACCAGCTGTTGTATTTAAAGTTGACGATCAAACGTAAGTTTATCTTCGTTTAGTATGATTAATAAATGTTACTTATTTTTTTTACTTATTATAGTTAACTTAAGAATCTATAATCATTAAATGTGTTATAAGTGTTAAACATTTTATTTACTGCCCTCCCCTTAGTTGCTGGTTCGGTTGCGATTATGATCGCTACTTTATTGCCGATTAGCACACAGACCTCAGATTCCAGAAATACAACTACTAGTAGAACTTCCACACTCAAAACGCAGAACGCAATATATGCCAAAACAAACATCGAAACATGTCATCATAATGGTATAGAAATACTAACATCAGAACTAGCAGAATGTAAGTTACACCGGGGGAAGTGGAACCGTAAATGTCAGTGGTTCCTGTTTAAAGTACATTGGCCAAAAAAGATATCTTCAAATCTGAATTATTTTTACAAGATTTCTGAAGAGACATTAACTGCTACACAAATATATGAGCGAATCACGCCTTCCAATTTTATTTTTGCGGTCCATGGTCCATGGGTTACACTTACCCCATTGGTGTAACCTGAGGCACATTTTTACTAACAGAGTGTAAGCAAATTTGCCGGGGTAAGAGTAAATAATTATCCTTAATATATGCTACAAAAGAAATTTATTTGCAATAGAAATATGTATCGTTAAATAGTTCTTTTCCTCTCTTATCTACTGTAGGAGAGGGTAAGTGCATACAAATCTTATATGCATTATGCTTTTATCTTCTACAAGCTAGTGAAATGTGGAGGTCTTACAAATTTTGTCTCTAGCATGGATCTTTTTCTGTTAGCTAATCTACATACATTTTAACCTATTTCTTTGGATTGAATTTGCCCACGATCCAATCATCCACGTATATTTTTGTCAAGTCTAGCTACATTTGATTGAGAAACTTATTTTCTTTCAGTTCGTTTATGGTAGCATTGCTTGAAATACTTAATACTTTTTTTTTCAAATAAGGATTTCTTTTTTGTCGTCTTTTTCTAATTATTTTTGTTTTGGCTTGGAATATTCTCTTTTTTTTATGCGTCATCTTTGCCGATATTATCCTCAGCTACTTTTTTTAAATCTTTTTTAATTTGGTGGGTTTTTCAAGCCGCTGGTTTTGGATTTGTTCCAGTTTAGCAACAGCGTCTTCTGAAGTGATCATCTGATCACTTCCGCACCAGCGCAGATTGTTTTTTTTTCGGCGGTAGTTTTTGCTGTTTGTTTTATTTGCTCCTGCAGCAACTCTTCAAACATTTTCTGCCGATGGTTTGAAGATTTTGGGAGTCCGCCTTCAGACACACTGACTGCTATAAGTGAATGCAACTACATTTACCTGACGTTCTTGGAAAGTGCACATATGCTTGTGGTTTATAACTTTCAATGGGTATTACGGCGCCGCAAGGTGGAAAAAATTCAGCCTTTTGAAATCCATGGTTAATAAAAACTGGATCTATATTTTCCCAAATTTTGAACATTATAGCAGCAAAAACGGATTTGTGAAGTTTATATCCATAATTCTTTGGTTGCCACTTAATGAGTTCCTCCTCCCATTTTATTTTTAACGGCCGAAACACGCTGTGGTCTATCGGTTAAAGGATGTGGCTGGTGTGAGGGGAAATTTAAAAATGCGTATGTTTTCTTGTTTTGCCATTTGAACAAGTGAGTTGCCAACATGAGAGCTATGTCCATCGTAGATAAGACAGATCCGTTTTTGGTCTTAAAAAATTGTTTTCGAAATAATTTTGAACCGTTTCCGCTTCCATATAGCCATTTTTTGTGACCGAATATGTTATCCTAGCATATTCCTCATTTTTTGCGAGCCATGAGTCCCACACATTCTTTTTGCTTCGCCACAACATGTGGTGGTAGTTTTTCAGTGTAGAAACACGGTGATATTTTCTTTTCCATAACTATTAGATGCTCTTTTGGGCCAACAACTTTTATTCTTCTCAGATTTGAACTATTTATCTATTTTAGTAGATAGCTAATAAAGAAACAACTTCTATGACTTTTTTAGCAGAGTAAAATAATGGATCTACACTGCTTTTTCTTGCTACTTCTACTATTTGTGGCTTTTTCTAACATATTAAATATTGTTCTTTAAATCACATGAAATTTTTCCATTAAATTTTACATGATGTTTTCTACTATCTTTTTCTTCTTCGTAAAGCATAGCAGTGTGTCTAGCCATGGTTGAGGTGTTGATACACTTCTTTGACCTTTAGCATGTTTAAATAAGGTTGATTTGAGAATATTATAAATTATTGATGCTCTGGAGTGGCAATAGGTTAATAAACCTAGTAAGATCACCTAACATAGCGATTACCAGCACATACTTCGCTCGAAAAAATATACGCAACAGCAGCTGAAAATCACTAGACAGACAGTAGAAATATTATAGATCATGTTATTGTACATTAAAGACACCAATTAAAAACAATAACGTCCGCACCAGGAGAGGAGCACACGCGGAGAGAAGATCAGAACTTGAACGCTGCAATGCAGAAGGACTCAAAAGATATGAACAAAAATAGATAAAGAAAATATACCTAAACATGGAAAATATACGTAAAAATGAGGAATGGGCAGTGTGCAGAAACATCTTAACAGAAATAGCTGAAGAAGTATTAGGCATGGAAGGTAAATGAAGAACAAGAACC